TCAGCTTGAGTTCATCTTATTATCAGGTAAGTCGTCGACATAGTTGACCTTTTCACTATAAATACTTTATGAAAGCAAAAATCTGATACACAGGAGTTCATGTATTTTGCATAGTAGAGCCTTACCACTTGAAAACGGAATTTTCTCTCAAAAAGACATTTGAATAATTTCCATAAAAACCCCGATAAATTTTCATATACAGAAACAAATATTTTTCAGGGTAAAGACAATCTTGAAGAACATATCGAGATTAAAATAAAATTTTCAACTGTCTAATAGCCAGAACAACAATATCTTTATGACAAATGATTTTTTTAACATCACTTTTCTTTTTTTAAAGTTTTGTTTCACTCGTGAATGCAATGTGCAGCCTTGTTTAGTTTATGGAATATCCTTAAACATACTACGAAGGTATCTAGAGATGCCATTCTATAAATTTTGTAACTAATATACTAGCAGAATATGTCATCAAGAAAAGAATTTTCTTCCCATGGAATTTATAGTCGTATAGAAAAAACGAAAGAAAGCGATTTCAATCCAAACTTTGTCCATATACGTAGTTCTAGCAATACTTGGTATTCTCAAATTTTCAACAATAACAGTTATTTCTTTTCAAGACGCTGAATACCAAGAAAGTACGGGGTTTTCGCAAGGTTTTGCAAAATATGATTGATTTTTTCTGGTATTAAATATTCCAACACGAACGCATTCGATTCGAGTAAAAAATTCAGAGAAAGTTAATGGTTATGAAACCTATTTATGACCAAAACTGCTATCTTTTGGCATATTACAAGTTCGGTATTTCTGTTATAGGACAGTGAATAACTATGACGAGAAAATAAGAGAATTTCTTTTTGGCTTAGTATGAGTATATGAGGGATCCATAATCTCTGTTTTTGTGGTTAGTTTCTTGTCGTTGTAAGTGAGAGACTTTTCGTCTTTTAAGGACTAAACACACAAATAAAATGCAAAAATATTTTGGATGTCATGCATAAGAATGGTCAAGATGAGCGAGCAAAGTAATATGAGTCGTTTTATTGATTCATAGATAATTCAAAAACTATTAGCATAGATTTTATAACAGATTTCTATGTGCATGTTTGTAAAATACTGGTGTGAAGATATCTCAAAAGAAAAATTATATTAATCACCATTTTTAGTCAAAAGTAGATCGTTAACTGGAGGCTCGCTCGAAGCTTCTAGAAAGTTTCTCTAGTAAACTAATCATAGATTATTTTATGAAGAAAGTAGTATAAAAAAGCTTAAAAACGTTCCAAACTATGAGACGATCATACTATATATTATAATTATTTAGATATCTGGATATGTCCTTCTTGGAGTCATTACCAGATCATTTTCAATGTCTCTATGGGTACAACGAACATCGACAGGTGGAGGAACTCTTGTTCATTACTCGACACAAACAGATGGTAAAGGATGGTGTACTGTTCCAATAGGATTTTCCTCTGCTGGTAATATAATCGCGACTGCTTGGGTACCAGACAACCAGGTAACAGGTCCTGTGCTATCGATCAACACGTGGACACATATTGCCACTACCTATTCACAAATGAATGGGCTTACATTATATGTTAATGGAGTATCTGTTGGTAGTACAGGTGCACAGAACAATACTGCACCAAGTACAATAGTTATTCTGACATTAGGCAACTCATTAAATGGTGATGGATGTAATTCACAGTCAATTACAACAGGCCCATTTTCTGGCTATTTAGATGAGTTTCGTGTTTACTCACGAGAACTCAGTGCCAGAGGAGTCTCCGCATTGACTAAAGGTAAAGAATGATTTGTTGAGTGACAAGGTTTCTTGGATCTTTGTCCTCTTCCTAGATAAAACCTGCTTTGATGGACTTATGAATGGAGATGAAACGGACATCGATTGTGGAGGCTCATGTCTTACATGCGATGTGGGTAAAAATTGTTCACTGGCAAAAGACTGTAATAATGGTGAGTGTATCAACGGCATTTGTATAAGTAAGTGTCATACTTTTTGAAAAAACATTTATTCAAAGGATTCACTGCTTCTTTTCTGAATAGGTGCAACATGTAACGATACCATGAAGAACAATGGAGAGACAGATGTTGACTGTGGAGGTTTGAACTGTTCACCATGTGGTACTGGGAAAGTATGTTCTGATGCTAGTGATTGTATCAGTAAAAGCTGTGCTTTTGGCACTTGTAAAAGTAAAGAATGATTTGTTGAGTGACAAGGTTTCTTGAATTTTTTGCCCTCTTTCTAGGTCCAACCTGTAGTGACGGAATTATGAATGGAGATGAAACTGACATCGATTGTGGAGGTTCATGCCCAGTATGTGGTGTATACCAGATGTGTAAAGTCGATCTGGATTGTATCACTGGCTGTAATAATACTGCATGCATAAACGGCTATTGCCAACGTAAGTATTCTTGTATAAAGTGAGGTGCGGCAAATTGGTTTTATTTAAATAAATACGCATTTTTTTGAGTTGGCATGTCGTTCGCGTTCTACGATTTCTGTTATGTTTCAAGAGTTTAGTTAGCGATGAGCAACACAGAGCAAGGTACGTTTTCGTAACTGTTCGGTAGAGTTTTGAATTGTTCATTGTTTGCCAGGTATTGATTTGTTACATGTGTGCATGTTTTTGGGTCTGTAAAATTGCGTCTGTAGTTTTATCTTCAAATTCCATATGTAGTTTTTCTATATAGTTATGTGATGAGGTCAAGTTTTGGAACATTTTGAGAAGGTCTGGTGGATAGATTATTTCTGAAAAGAGTCATGTAAATTTGCAGATGATTGTGTACACTTTGTATCGAATGCGTAACACTTTTGTAGGATGCGTTTTTAAGAAGTGAATAATATCTGCGCGTTTAAGTACGATTATGAGTGATAAGGTATTGTTTGTCGCGATATGCCAAGACAAACTCTCTATGGGTGCTGAAGCACAGATCCTTTCATGTTTTTACTAATCGATGGCTTTCTTGAGTTGAATTATAACATGCTCTATTTTATGAAAATGGTGCATAGCTTATGTGTCTTATTTGCGTTACTACTGTTCCAATGTGAGAAGAAATACATTCGAATTGTCTCTCAAACCTATACTCATATGCGATCTCTAATCGTGTAAATATTCATTGTTTACTTTATTCATGGTTTAGCTAGTCGTACTAATTTAATTCATTAAGTTACTTCGAGGAAATTCGCAACTGTTAATCTGATAACGATAACCTGATACTAGTGATTTTTATGTACTCAAAAAGTGAGTACACTCCTAGAACCGGTCAGTGTGTTCGGCCGGCCTCCCGTCCGTTTACACGATAACTCTGGAAAGGCTAAGCCAATTCTCGTGAAATTTTGGACATAGTATAATCTCATCTAGATCTCGGTCGAGTTCGAAGATGACCCTGATTAGCCGGGCCATTCTTGAGTTATTGTAAAAATACTGATATTTCCCTATGATTTTTCTATATTTTTTTTCTTTGGGACAAATGATACAGGCGTTCTCATAAGAAACGTTTCTACCAGAGCCATATAGAATCCCACTTATTATATACTACGATAGAGAGTTTCACGAGTTACAAAAGGGTACTAAATTATAGAGGTAAATGGGTTGCTTACAAGATTGTCCCTGCATGACAGGATGGGTAAACTATAGAAAACTCATATATGTTGGCAATCTGGCAGTGTGATATTTGTTTGTTTTTCATATTACTAATAACACTTTTTCTAGAGTAGATAGAACCCTTCAAGAGCTATAAAATGATGTAAAATAATAGAGAGTGGGTATGAGGCGTTTAGAACCACTTCAGTACCACACCTGCGAAAAAACATGAAAAAGTCATATATCTTAATAGTGTGTCTGTATGATATTTGTTTGTTCTCTATAGACTGAACCTTATTTTTATGTACTTGTAAAGTGAAGTTCACGATAGATTGATTTTGATCAATCTGTCTAAAAAAATTCATCCTTGAGCGCACTAAGGAACTGCCCCTTAAGCCGTGCGGATCCGCTCTTTTTGTTTCTATAAGAAGATGGATATGTACCCATGTTCGTAAAAAATTTTCTAACAAAGTCAAATAGAATCCCACTTATTATATACCATTGAATAGAAAATTTTACGAGCTACAGAATGGTATATAATATATAATGAATCAAGGACGCTAAATCACCTATACAGCAAACATAATTAAGCTCGAAATGGTTGCATTGTTGTCAACGACGTCCTTGAGCCAGAATTAGAGCTCTATCTTCCGATGACAGATATGTTACCTTAAGAGTTTCTGAAACGGAAAACTGGAATCTATACTCTCTTTGCCTCAAAATCCGATACGTTGAGTAATAACCAATAAAAATCAAGTTACGGAGAAAATATTTTTCTTAGAGTAGCTGAAAGTGAAGAGTTCAACTCTGAGCTGTGTCCGATTTTATATCCTATGAAATGAGTACAGGCAGTAGAAATCATACTTATAGAAAAGACTTCCCATTATAATTCTGATACCCAGACATGCTAGGATGACTCATCTACCTCAAACACTTTTGTAGTACACATTACTCTCGGATAAGATCCAAAGTTTCCGCAATCATTAGATAAGCTTTATTTCAAGTGTTTTTGAGGATGTTCGAAATCTAAAACAGCGTATTTTTGACATACTTTTAACTATCTAATTAGAAGTTTGAGAATGCGGGTATCTGTAAGCAGGTCCCATTCACTCGTACGCATGCACACTCTCTCTCAGCTAAAAAGGGAAACAGTAGTGTAGCTTTGCGGATTTTCTTGTAACTGATGGCATTTATTTTAAGAAAACTTCGTGAATGTAAATACTAGATAGAGTTATATTCCCTAATAAGAACACTAAAAAATCCCACACCTTAAAAGACTTGATTCTCCGTTGTTTTACACTCGATTGAAAATATTTTAACATATGCATAATCTATGGAGTCTCCTCTTTCCAGTGGTGTAACATTGACCCTTCTCTTACACATAACGACGGAGAATTCAGCATTTTATGAAAAGGGACTTCGCCTGTTATTATTATGGCTCATTTCCCTAATAACAACAATAAGCTAATTTTTTGACCCTAATAACAACACCTAGCTACTTTTGACCCAAATATTATATCTAGCTATTTTTTGAGCCTAATAACAATACCTAGTTGTTTTTCGACCTTAATAACAACACTTCATCTACAGTAAAATCTCTAGTAGTGGACGCACCTTTATAGTGAAGACTCCCATACAGTGAACACTTTGAGGTCCGACGGGCCTTCTTTTGATATATTTGAACCTCTGCATAGTGGACACTCTCTATGATGGACACCTCCATATAGTGGACAGTTTTGAAAGTCCAAAACTATATTTTTTGCTGAAGATGAACCTCTCGATAGTGGACATTGTTATATAATTCTACATGATGAGAATTATTGTCAAGTTTAATAGCGTCTACAAGAATTGGCCTATTTTTTTTAACAAACCATGTGGTTTTCGACAGCGAAAGTTAATATAATACGAAGTGTAGATAAATAGTAATGTTCTGTCGTATTCATTAACAATCTTCTGATGTACAGAAAACACATTTACTTCGTTTAACAAAGTATTCCTGCAGAAGTGCCTCACCTCTACAGAGTGGACACCTCTCAACAGTTGACGCGTTTGAAAAGTCCCGAGGGTGTCCACTATAGAGAGATTTCACTGTGCTACACTTTTTCAATTTCACCGACAGCCGATCATTGTAAAAAATAGAGCAAGAAAATTTAGTCATAAGTAATACATGTGTACTGAAAATAGCCCGAATAATTAGGCAGAGTATTTAAATAAATTTATTTCGATGTAATCGATGAAATTGCTAAAAGAATTTGTTGTTAATTTCGCGCTATTGTTAGTATAGATGTATTATTTATGAATAAATTTTCTTGTTCTATTTTTACAATGATCGGCTGTAGGCGGAATTGAAAAAGTGTAGTAGATGAAGTGTTGCTATTAAGGTCAAAACTATCTGAGTGTTGTAATCAAGGATATTTTTTTAAAAAATGATGATCTACGTCTTTGTTTCAAATTTGTTTTTCTATTAAACCAAAGTTCATCTCTCATGAATCTTCGGGTTTAGATAGAGTTTGATCTGCACTGTAAAATTGCCAGCAAGATTTTTCTTTGTTTTCCGAAAGAAAAACGTAAAAAAATCTTTTTTTCTCAAAAAGTCCATTTTTCCTGCAATTTTGTTGAAGTGTTGTTATTAGGGAAATGAGCCATAATAACAACAGACAAAGTCCCTTTTCATAAACCGATGGTTTCTCCGTCGTTATGTGTAAGAGAAGACTCCATAGATTATGCATATGTAAAAATATTTTCAATCGAGTGTAAAACAACGAAGAATCAAGTCTTTTAAGATGTGAGATTCTTTTAGTGTTCTTATTAGGGAATATGGCTCTACGAACCTTATATTTTTGCAAATTTTTCTGCTGTTTAATAAGTACCGATAGGGAAAAAATTCATGAGAGTCGAGCATGATGCTCTCTAAATTATTTGGCAGAAAAGTTTATATTAATTACCATTTACGTATATCACTAAATACTTTCATAATAATGGCAGTTCAGTCACAAAAACTTTGTACTGAAAAATCTCGAGAATTTGACCATGATTGAGTTCACCTTATTGGATCAGTTTTTCTTCTTATCATTATTATTGATACTATTCCAGAGTACATCACTACCATCTATTGTTGAAAAATTTTCAGATGAAACAACAGTCTCAAAAAAGTAACAAAATGTTATCATACGTACAATTGGATATTACTCATTTCATAATTGCACACCAAATCTTGTGGAAAGTTTAAATACGATGCTGCATATAATTCCTTAATCTGTAGTCTATTTTGTTTGCATATGTTCACGGTTTTTAGTTCGAATCTTAAGTGTAAAATTGATACTTATTATTTTCAATACTAGGAGTAAAGTCAATGTATATGACGTAGCAAGATATAAAATACCTTACACACAAGTGATTTCTGATTATGGCAGACCAAGAAGAGCTCAGTTGATTCCTTTCTGTAATTTATAAACACTATTATCGATCCGATCTAAGCTGTTTTTTCCTACCAAACGAACGAGAATAGCTGAGTTAAACAACGATTTTGAACGTATATGAAAAGATCTGTAACTCAATCAAAGATGACGTCATATTTTATCGACATATAGAGTTTTCCAGTAGAACATAGTAGCATACGCATTTGAATAAAATGTACTTGTTAATATTGCCCTTTTCTTCTTCTTTGGAACAGCTATGGTTGAGTGGATAAGCTGGTCGACAGGTATCTGCGAGATATTGTGTTCAAATCTCAGTATCATCAGGTATGAAATGACCATAGGTAAATCACTAACGCCTAGTTATCTCAGATGACTCATCCGACAGTATACTAACTAAAACTAGTCTGTGTGTGGAATCCAAAGAATCGAAGATAAATGACGTAGCAACGTGATGCCTATGCTCAACCCGAACCTAGAATCATAAATGGGGCAGCGTTAAACAGAGATGACTGCAGATACCGACGGTTGTAATTAGAAAAAGACAGCAGAACTCGATCGCGTGTGTATTCTACATGAAAACTAGTAGTCGGCCCCAACGGACCACAAACCTATAATAATTATTACAAGCGGGAAAAATCTCATTCGGGCATTCGGATCCATTCCCTTCTATTCTCATCCATTCCCTTCCATTCTCATCCATTCTAATCCATTCCCTTCCATTCTCATCCATTCTAATCCATTCTCATCCATTTCCTTCTATTCTCATCCATTCCCTTCCATTCCCTTCCATTCTCATCCATTCCCTTCCATTCCCATCCATTCCCCATCCATTCGCTTGCATTCTCATCCATTCCGAATTACTATTATATATTCAGAATTTTTAAAATTAGATATGAGCGATTAAAAGTTGTTTTGCTCTTTAAATGATTAGTTTACTACTGAATCGAATTAGATAAATTTTGAACTAAGTCAGTACATATTTGAGAAGTGATAGTATCATATTCTTTAAGAAGCAGTAGATTCTATTCATCTTGACATCATGCGGAAATTGATTTATATATAAATCTGAAACCAATTTTATTTAGTACCTAAACATGAAGTTCTTATAAAACATAAGTCAAATAATAAAACGTTTGCGGAGAACAATATTCGGACAACTAGATGATTTATCAAACTAAGAATGTAAGTTTACTATGTATCAGCTAATTAATGTTTATTCAAAATTATATTTTTATACAATTTATATAAATAAAAACATGGGATATTCAAAAACCACACTCCTACAATTTACTATAAAAATGACCATAATAAGAAAATATTTTATGCTCTAAACTATTATTTTATTTGTCTTGCCTTTTTTTGGTAGATTTCGGGTTGACCATAGATGAATTATTATGAATACGTTTTCTTTTCGATTTTTTTGATAAGTTAATGTGTTCACTAACTGTAGTATAATTCATAATAAATGAATCTGTACTTGTATTTATTGCATCAAATAATATAGTTGACAAGTTATCTGTAATTCTGTTTATAGCAGAATCTTGTATATTTGAGTTGTTGCTATTGTTACTATTGATTACTGGTGTTGATGATAGTATAACTACATTTTGTTGTTTTTGTTGTTGATGATGATGTTTCTTTTTATACTTTTCATGTTTTTCTTTTAATGCATCAAATAAATTATCTAAATTAAGTTTCGTACCTTGTTTAATGACTAAATCACCACGGTTGTATTCAAAACAAGCATCAGCTTTTATTCTATTTATTTCGTCACAGTCAAGTTTAGGAATATCTAGTAAGTTTGTTGCTCTAATTAAATATCGAGCATTTCGTATACTCTGGACACGTAATATATTAGCTTCAACTTTGCCACATACTTCTCCTACAAAATCGTAAAAGCTGTCGTTTGATTTAAATAAGACGTCATCTTGTAAGCTATATAAATTGTATGTATCCATTAATTCTCTTCACAAACTAGTTTTACGTTTAACGAGTGATTAATGCTTTGAAATTTATCTTTATAACGGTCCTTATTTTCTTTTTCTCCGTCGTGGCATACACAATGGTGAAAGAAAGAAAAAGACGGGGGATATGATCACAGAAAGACAACACGTAATATATGATTAGACTCCCATATTTTGAAAGAACGGTAACGTTGCGTTTATCAAACGTAAAATGTAAATGTATGTCTTACATAGTGTAACAAATAGCTATCGGCTTTTTTCTTTCTCTATACAATACACAGCTTCGATATTATACTTTGAAATCAAGTTAAAAGTTAGTTTCCATTGATTAGCAATCAGTTTTATACATTATTTTAATGTAAATAATAACTATATACTAGGAGTAAAACATGGCAGACATCCAGTAGTCACATAATTTATATAATCGCCCTTCTAACGTATGAAATCCTTTGATATACTTTCAATGGTTTTGAACCATTCCTATCCATTCGCAGCCATTCGGAATGGCTGCGAATGAGATTTTTCCCCCTTGAGTTATTATTTATTTTTTCTTTAAAGCATTTCCGAATGGAACTCACAGTTTCTGGCCAATGGAAAACAATACCGTTGATGTTATATCAGGTCTCAATGGAACAGCTGTCAACTCGCCTACTTATGTAACACCTGGCATCACCGGTAGTGGATATGCTTTGAAGCTCATCCGTAACAGTAATCAGTACATAAATATACCAACATTCATAAGCTTCGTTAAAACCAGTTTTACAGTGGAAATGTGGATCTATCCTACTTACATTAACAGAAACATTAATTATGGACTTTTCGGTCAATATGAAGCACAGACTACAGATCATGATTTTTTACTTGCAATTATTGGTGGAACATTAAGGTTAAGTTTTTATAACGATGATGTCAATAGTGGAACTAAATTGACGGCAGACAGCTGGTATCACGTAGCGTTTGTTTACAATTATCCATCTCGAACACAGACCATTTATACAAACGGAGTTCAAGATATCAGTCGTAGCTCAACCGGATCCTATTTAGGTGCAAGTGGTTCTATTAGTATTGGAAGCTATTATGATGGTAGCAATCACGGATACGACGGGTAAGAAAAAACGATTGGATCATTAGTTTTGTTTATTCAGTTGAGTTTAAAACATTCAGGGTTAGAAGTATTGTTTATTCTATCTTCGACATTATTAATTCAGTTATCAAAAACTTTGATAAACTGTTATGTACTCGTGTAAATTCTATTTTTATCCCTACTTTTTCAGTTCATTTCTTAAAGGGTGTAGCATTTCAATAGAAATGTAAATAATTCACTCATCTTTTGCTTAAATATTGTTCTCATATATTTAGTTATATCGATCAAGTGTCACTCACTATGGCAGCTAAAAGTGCTGGCGACATTCTTAACGATGCTACTTTGGCTTCATGGCATTCATTCGACTGTGAAATTACATATGATTCAGGTCCAAATAAACTTCAAGGAAAGGCTGTTGACGTCACACCAACACCTGGTAAAGTGAATCAAGGATTACAGTTCAGCTTGAGTTCATCTTATTATCAGGTAAGTCGTCGACATAGTTGATCTTTTCACTATAAATACTTTATGAAAGCAAAAATCTGATACACAGGAGTTCATGTATTTTGCATACTAGAGCCTTACCACTCAAAAATCGAATATTCTCTCCGAGAGATATTTGAATAATTGCAATAAAAACCATGATAAAGTCTCATATACAGAAACAAATAATTTCTTGGTTAAAGACAATCTTGAAGAACATATCGAGCTCAAAATAAAACTTTTAACTGACTAATAGCCAAAACAAAAGGTTCTTTATGATCACTGATTTTTTTAAAGTTTTGTTTTACTCGTGAATGCGATGCGCAGCCTTGTTTAATTTATGAACTATCCTTAAACATACTACGAGGGTATCTAATCATGCCATTCTGTTAACTGAAGGATGATTAGAAGTGTGCCGATAGGCACGATTTCTATACAATTCTTAATTCTTCAAAGATATTATCCTTGCGCGATACAAAATCGTCATTGAAGGAGTATCGCGTTCATTTTATATTGTAATATCTTTCTTATCTCCTTGTGTTATAACCTCGACCGTTATATGTGCATATAATATTCTCTTCTCTTCTCTTCTCTTCTCTTCTCTTCTCAAGCGTAGCGAGCAACGTATTATATCTCACATATATGTATGTGTAAAAGAAAAGAATAGGTAGATTTGGAAGAATGAAGTAGTGTGTGTAACATCGTTTATATACCGAAGATAGCGGTAAAGCTACTCTTCCAATTTCTCTTTGTGATCACAAATAAAATAAAGTCTGCAACATAAGTAACGAATTATTCTATCCATATTATTATCAACTATTAAATTCGTTAGAAGAAGCTTCTAGAAAGTTTCTCTAGTAAACTAATCATAGATTATTTTATGAAGAAAGTAGTATAAAAAAGCTTAAAAACGTTCCAAACTATGAGACGATCATACTATATATTATAATTATTTAGATATCTGGATATGTCCTTCTTGGAGTCATTACCAGATCATTTTCAATGTCTCTATGGGTACAACGAACATCGACAGGTGGAGGAACTCTTGTTCATTACTCGACACAAACAGATGGACAAGGACGGTGTACTGTTCCAATAGGATTTTCCTCTGCTGGTAATATAATCGCGACTGCTTGGGTACCAGACAACCAGGTAACAGGTCCTGTGCTATCGATCAACACGTGGACACATATTGCCACTACCTATTCACAAATGAATGGGCTTACATTATATGTTAATGGAGTATCTGTTGGTAGTACAGGTGCACAGAACTATAATGGACCAAGTACAATAGTTATTCTGACATTAGGCAACTCACTAAGTGGTGGCGGATGTGGTTTCCGATCAATGGTACCATGCCCATTTTCTGGCTATTTAGATGAGTTTCGTGTTTACTCACGAGAACTCAGTGCCACAGACGTCTTTGTACTTAGTAGAGGTAAAGAATGATTTGTTGAGTGACAAGGTTTCTTGGATCTTTGTCCTCTTCCTAGATAAAACCTGCTTTGATGGACTTATGAATGGAGATGAAACGGACATCGATTGTGGAGGCTCATGTCTTACATGCGATGTGGGTAAAAATTGTTCACTGGCAAAAGACTGTAATAATGGTGAGTGTATCAACGGCATTTGTATAAGTAAGTGTAATACTGCTCGAGAGAGCCTTTATTGAAAAGAGTTCCTCCTTCTTCTTTGAATAGGAAAATAGCGTGGATGTGTGTGCTCGATGAATATTATATCTAAACCCACACCGACACCCTCACCTACGTCCTTGTAGCCCATGTATTTCTGCATTTAACACATCAAACTTTTCTTTCCTAGATTCTGCTTGAGCTCTAAAATATTCCAAGAAAGGCCCAAATAAGTGAGCTCCAAACGTGGAGTTCAAATGTGAAGCTCACTTATCTGAACCTTCCTGTTCTTGCCTTAGCTTGCTCGTTTTTCATCACCTCACCACTCGCATGTATGTAAACTTTCTATATAATACCATCCGTTTTATGATATTCTTGATAGACACGGCCTCGTGCTCGTGAATCCAAGTAAGTTTCTATTCATCATATAATCTTTTAAATATTAAGTATTTTTTTACGTTACCTAGTGAAATATTTGAAGAATAACATTTATGAGCTCAAATCTATTAACGAACAGCATAGTTTTGAATGGGCAAATCTACTTTGTTGTTTCCCCTACGAAAAGCAGCGAAGACATCAGTTTTGAAGATTAGTAATGTCTCCTGAAGTCTCGAAGAGACTGGTGGAGTGCTTCAAGTCCTTCGAAGCTATTTGTTCTCATAAAGTCTCTGGAATCTCGTGAAACGTCTTCAAGGCTCTAAAAAGGTTTTCGAGTGAAAGTATCTAACAATTCAAAAATCCTGAATACACTAATATTGGTATATTCATAATTAGTCACGAAAACCTATTGAACCCTTCGAAGTTCTGGAAAACCTTTAAGCTCCTAATCCGGTGTGTATTCTGTACGGCTTAAAACTACGCCTGACCCCTTATATCTATCTTTGTCTCTTAAGGAAACCCCACCCCCCCCCCTTTTCGGGATTTCTAGAAAACGAAAAGGCGAAAATTCTTGAAACTTCCACTATAGATAGGTCTCAAATAGTAAAGCAAAAGTTCTTCTAGAATCTGAGTTGCCAGACACCGTCTTTCTGTATTTTTAGAGACTCCAAGATTCAAAAATGGTCTAAAGTTTCTCCTGAGGGTGTGGGTGTGGGTGTGGATATATCTTAGTATACTCAGACCCACACACACACCTTAATTATTGCATCGAAATAATGTTTTATTTTATTAATTTAGATTCCCCATGTCAATCATTAACTTATAGTGCATATATATATTATTCGACTGGTAATCAACCATGGTCAATTAGTATTGCTGATTTAGATAATGATAATAGCAATGATATAATCGTTCTCAATGCAGGTGATGCAAATCTTGGAATTTATTTTAATCAAGAAAATGGAACATTTCAAACACCGATAATATTACAAACTGCTAATTATCCTGTATTTGTCGGAAGTGTTGATTTAAATAAGGATAATAATTTAGATTTAATCGTAGCTCAGGCTAAAGATAATAGTATTGGTTTATTTCTTGGTCTTGGTAATAAAAGTTTTAACTCACGTATGAATATTGCAGTTGGTTCTTATCCATATGGAATTGGCATTGGTGATTTTAATAAGGATGATAATCTAGACCTTGTCGCTGTTAATGATCATGCTAATACTGCCAGTGTTTTATTTGGATACAGTAATGGAAGTTTTGAAAGTGCCAGCACTTTATCAACAGGTAGTTATGTAACAGCAGTAGCTGTTGCTGACTTCAATAGTGATAGTTATTCAGATTTTGTTGTTACTGATTATTCTAGTAATACAGTTAGTTTATTTATTAATTATGGTAATGGAAGTTTTCAACAACGTATAGCTTACTCAACAGACACTTCTCCATGGGGGATAGCTGTTGCAGATTTCAATCACGATAACTACATAGATGTTGTTGTTGCTAACTATGATAGTAATACAATGAGTGTGGTATTAGGAAATGGAAATGGAACACTTGGATCACAAACATCCTATGCAACTGGACAAAATCCGATGTCTGTAGCAGTAGCTGATTTAAATAATGATACACATATAGATATTGTTGTTGCTAATAGTGGTAGTAATTACTTAAGTGTTTTTCGTGGATATGGTAATGGTAGTTTTACAACAGCTACAAGCTTAACAACGGATTGGTATGTATCAGCAGTAGCTATTGCTGATTTAAATGGTGACGGCCGATTAGATATAGCCGCTACTACTACATACTATGAAACTTTAAATATACTTTTCAACATATGTTGATTTCATAAGATTTCACTTTTATTTGCTTCATTTTAAATTTAAACAATATTTCTAATGCACTATTACTTATTATATTTCATTTTGCTTTAAAATAAAGAATTTAAATTAAACAAACCATCTTGAGAGTGTCGGTGTGGACATTATTCTTTCGCTGATCCACATCCTTTCTACGGCGAAAGAATTTTCTTTATATTCACCATAGTAGCCGATAAATAGTTGTACAGCGCAACTTCTCAAGGTAATTATTTGGCATTATATCATGCTTGAAAGCTCTGAGGACACTAACAAATAAAAAAAAATTGTTCTTTTTCACAATTTTACTTGGATCGCAAGTGTATGCTTTATTGTTCGAAATTATTCGAGAGCTGAAAATACTTGTCTTTTGTCTTTTATTGTTTCTAGATCTTATCAAATTATGTTACCTATTTTATTAATCAAGAAAAATCGTGATCAGTTTGTGGAGAATGACACGAGCACTTATATGTTCTAGTTTGTCGTCAACAAGAATGGCACTTATCATATCTTGAGGGTGTGGGTGTGGGTGTGTCCTTATAGTTACATATTCAGGGCCGAAGCACTAAACAAATGTATATAGGAAGATTATACTTTCATAATATAATATAAAATGTGTGAATGACCGAGGCAGGACACGAACCTGCGACCTTCTGATAACATGTCAGTTGCTCTACCATCTGAGCTACACGGTCACATCTATATCATATTATGATTTCGATCTTCTGATGACTCTATTCAAATGTATTTTATTTTATTGCACATGTAGTGGCGAAGCTACAAACAAGTGTATGCGTAAGATTGTACTACAAAAATACGAATATAATCAGGATAGAAGTAGATGAAAATCAAAGTTGCGTTTAGTTGGATATGGTATTGAGATGAGTCATCGATTACAAAACTAATATAATGTTGGAAGTGATATATTTAGTATTTGAATAGTTGCATGTTTATGCAAGTTGGACATGGTTGAATCGATCAGATAACATTAATTGGTTAGTTATCATATTTGTAACCGAATTTAAAATATGTTTGATAATGTTTCTGTCTGTAGAAATGTTGATTTGAGTTGTTACAAATTTAAGAAGATACTATAAGATAATTATATGTAAAATTATACAATGTTGCAAACTTTGGATTTAGTGATTATCCTAAAATCAGTTTGATACTTGTTTACCATTAAGATAATTAGGATTATGATGATCATGTTGATTTGTAGATTATTATAATGATGTTTGCGATTACGATTATAAAACTAATCCGTTGGATACTTGTTGTAGAGATTATGGCAGTAATTGTTGAAGTTATTATGTTGTTGATTAAAGTTGTTATTTTGATGATTATATCTAAAGTGGGAAAGAAAATATGTATGAAATAGTTCGCTTTTGATGTAGATGCAAACAAAACTGTTTATTAAGAAAAAGAAAAATGTATGAGAAACTAGGTAATACTGAATCATGTCTTTAATTGAATAGGATATGATTATCTATATTGAGTCATAGTTATGATGAACGTAGACGAGGATGAATTAAGTGTTGACACCAATCATCATTGATGTTAGTAGAAGTCAAAAATGGGTCATTTGTATCATGAACAGTTCGATTTAATTTAGGTTGAGCATAAGTAACCAATAAAGCTTGTATGAGATGACCCATTTCATCTGAAGCACTTTCAGGTACTAGAACAAAAATAATAGTTTGTAAGTATATGATAGAACATTATTATTGATACACTATCACTTACAAACCATAACAATTGTTGTATTGTATAGTGTGAGGATGAAAAGATGAAGATGATAATCCTCTCTGTTTATTCGTA